TCGTGTGGTGAGTGGAATTGGAAAGCCACTTTGTATGGATCAACCAACGACGCAGAAGATGAGAGTGGGGTGTGCTAAAATCTGTGTTGAGGTGAGTGCAAAGAAGAACCTAGTTGACAAAATCAGTATCACCCCAGATGGGATGGAAGAAATGTATATAGGGTTGAATATGACTGTTCTAAGCCTACGGGGCCAACGAAAAGGATATGGAGGAAGAAGAAAATTCAGGTTGAGAAGGTTCAGATTGGGATGGAGGAAGAGCCTTCACTGCAGGATGTGTCAAACTCTGAGCAGCAACTGGAATTGGCTGAATCTGAGCAGCAGATAAGTGTTGTGGCGGAGGATACTCCTCATGTTACACCAAGTGCTCTACCGACTCAAGAAGAATTTAGCAAAGTCATCAATGGTGCCAAACAGCCTCAAGTCTGAAAATAACTGAGATGGTTAGTCATTCTAACTCTTTTGAGATTCTATGCTCTAAAGAGGTGCAATTGCAATTTCCCCCGCTGAGAAGAGAGGGCCTCCGTAGTCAGAAGGGAGCTAACAAGGCTCCAGCTCCCTGTAAATGACAATCTTAGCTTGGAATGAGAGAGGATTTAATTCCTCTCCCAAGCATGAATCCATGCTTGAGTATATAGGTAGATATAAAATAAAGGTTTTTGCAGTACTGGAAACAAGGATAAAAGTTGATAAAGCAGAGAAAGTAAGGGAGAAGTTCAAAGACTTTACATTCAGGGATAATTATGAGTTCAGTCCTTTGGGTAGAGTGTGGTTGGCCTGGAGAGATGAAGTCAAGCTCAGAATCTTGGCTACAGATAAGAATTTTATCCATGCTCTGGTTTCTATCTCACAGCAGGAGCAGTTTTTCATGATATCGATTTATGCATCAAATGATGAGGCAGAGAGAGCAGCAACTTATACTAGATTGAGTAAATGGAAAGTTAAGGGTTTCCCTTGGTTGGTTTGCGGTGATTTTAATGCGATTATCAACCCTCTTGAGGCGTCAAATGAAGTTTCAATTTCCACTAGTATGACTACTTTTCGTGAATGGTTAAGAGATATGGAACTAGTGGATGATCAGGCATCATGCACTTTCTTCACTTGGATAAATCAGCAGAGAGCTAATCCAATAGCTCGAAAACTTGATCGTATTATGGTGAATGAAGACTGGTTAGATAGACTGCCAGATTGTATAGCAGAATTTCTTCCTCCATCCTTTTCAGATCATAGTGGAATGTTGATTAGGCCTTGCATCCCAAGGAAGAGCTTTCCCAAGACTTTTAGGTTCTATGATATGTGGACTCAACACCCTTCTTATGAGGGGATTCTGAAGGATATCTGGAGTCCGAGATTTTCTGGGACGACAATACAGACAATAAAGGAAAAATTCAAATTGCTGAAACTGGAACTCAGGAAGCTCAATAAAGAACACTTCTCTGACATTTCAGGAAGAGTCAAGGAGGCAAATGGCAACCTGAAGGAAGCACAGACTCAAGCGAGGGAGAATCCTTCCACTTCTACTTTCGATAGAGTTCATGAGCTTACTTGTGAGTTGGGTAGACTAAGGCTGACTGAGGAGAGTTTTTACAAACAAAGGTCTCGCATACAATATCTTGTTTTGGGGGATATGAACTCTGGATTTTTTCATAAGTCAGTAAAGATCAGACAAGCTCGGAAGCAATTAAGAAAGCTGATTGGTGAAGCAGGAAGAGAGATCACTAATGAGGAAAAGATAGCTTCAGAAGCGGTTCATTTCTATCAGGCACTTTATGGAGTGATCAATCCTACAGTTCAACCGGATAGTGTTGTTATTACTGAATATATTAAGAGATACATTAGTGAGTCTAATAAGGTCAAACTCTGTGCAGAGGTGATATATGAAGAAATATGGATGGATTTATTTGCTATGGATCCATTGAAGGCTCCTGGCCCTGATGGATGGACAGTGGGATTCTATCAGAAGCACTGGGGGTTGATTGGAGAGGACATTTGTGATGGAGTTAAGGAGTTCTTTAGAACAAAGCAGCTACCAAGAGGTATTAACACAACTTCTCTCACCTTAGCACCAAAGATACCTAATGTTGATAAGTTAACTGCCTTTAGACCAATTGCATGCATTAATGTGTTATACAAAATAATTGCAAAGGTTCTGGCCAACAGAATACATATAGCTTTGCCTGAAGTTATAAGTAAGAATCAATCTGCGTTTATTAAAGGAAGAAGTATTCTTGATAATATCTTGATGGCTCAGGAGATAGTTCACAACTATTCAAAGAAAACTATAGCATCTCGCTGTGCCATTAAGATAGATTTACATAAGGCATTTGATTCAGTACACTGGGAATACCTATTTTGTGTGATGTCTATTATGCAATTCCCTGCTGATTTTATGGATTGGATCCGGGTGTGTCTAAGCTCTGCTCATTTTAGCATCAGTCTCTATGGTTCCTTGTTTGGTTTTTTCAAAGCTCAGAAAGGGGTTAGGCAGGGAGATCCCCTCTCCCCCTATCTCTTTGCTATTGCACTTGAACCCCTGTCTAGAATGCTTGATAGTGCTGCACAGACAAAGCAGATTCCATACCATCCTCAGTGTAGATCAATAGACCTCACTCATTTGTGCTTTGCAGATGATCTATTGATCTTCACTGAAGGATCTGCAGTAGCATTACTTAAGGTTCAAGAGATTTTGAATAAATTCAGCTCTCTATCAGGTCTGAGTTGTAATCCAAAGAAGTGTGAGGTGTTTTTTGGGGGCAGGGCTACTCAATTTAAAGAAAATGCACTCTCTTTGTCTGGTTTTGCGGAAGGGAAATTGCATGTTCGATATTTGGGTCTTCCACTTGTTTCGGGACAGCTAACAAGCAGAGAGTGTGAGGTGCTGGTGGATAAGATTACGGCTAGAATAAGGTCATGGCATGCTAACAAGTTCTCATATGCAGGCAAAATTCAGCTCATATCATCTGTGCTCTATTCTTTAGTTCAATTTTGGATGAACATTTTTATTTTGCCAAAGAAGGTATTGGATAAGATTCATAAAATCTGCTCAGACTTTCTGTGGTTTGGTGAGGGGACTGGCCGAGCTAAAGTGGCTTGGGATTCTGTGGCAGTTCCAAAGAAAGAGGGAGGAATGGGGCTAAGAGATTTAGGCAGTTGGAATGTGGCGTGTATTGCAAGACTGTTATGGATGCTACTGATGAAAAGTGGGAGTTTCTGGGTCGCGTGGATTCAGCGGTACAGGCTGAGGGGGAGGTCAGTGTGGGACCTATCTTCTTCTCAGACAGGGTCATGGATTTGGCGGAAGCTATTGGCTATCCGAGACTGGTTCCAGTTCAGGTTTGCTACTAATGCAGCAGGCGAGGTGACTTGGGAAGGAAAGGTAATGACGCTATTCTCTATCCTGCAGGTATGGAACTCTATAAGACCCAAACACCTGAAAGTTGAATGGTGGCAAGTGATTTGGAATAAGTTTGTGATTCCAAAAATAGGGTGCTTACATGGTTGATAATTCTGAAAAGAATTAATACATTGGATAAGTTGAGGCAATGGGGGAAAGTGACTAATGCGATGTGTGTGTTATGTGATAGAGAAGAGGAAAGCAGAACACATCTGTTCTGCAAGTGCCCCTTTTCTTTGTAGATTTTTACAGCTATTTTTGGCTTGCGTCTCTGGCCAAGCTCGTGGAAGAGTTGGATATGCAGAATAGCCAAGAAAGGAGCTAAAGGGCTGGTGCAGAGTGCGATGTGGTGCTGGTGTCTCAGTATCATTTGGAAGGAGCGTTGCACTTGTATATATTAAGGCAGCACAAGAGAATGCAGATTACTACTGCAACAGTTAGTCGAGGATTTTAATTACTATGCTATGGGGAATGTTGCTTTTCTTACAGAAGTTAGATCGACCCCCCATTTCAGTAGTCTACTAACATTTTGATAGTTAGACTAGTTGATTCTTGTTTGCTTTTGTAAAAAGGATCAGTGGAGCAGGTCTGTTGCTCCTGAGTTTTTTGGGGATCCTGGATTTTCCAGGCGGTGCTTAATGAAAGGGCCTATAATTACCGGGGAAAAAAATATCTAGCCAGTAACATATCCTTTGGTACAAAAGTAGAGGTCCATCTTGGGAAATGCTTACGGGGTTGATTGGGTTAAGGATTTGAATGAGGATTCTGAGCACAATCTCTAAATCTGCAGGATTTTAATCAAATCACTCGTTTGGAAGTAATATAAACAATGAGAGAGCTTAAGATGAAAGAATTTTAAAAACCCTCATACGCAAGTTTTCAAAATAGCTCATCACCATTAGCTATTTCGAAATCATTCATTTTTTTTTTGTTCTTCCAAAACTAACCCCTCTCTTCCTTCACAATCGTCCTCCCTCCATCTCGTTGCCAACATACTTCGATTCAATAAACACATTCCGACACCGTTCAACACCCATTCTAAGTTCCACTTTTGTTTGTCGAGTTTCATTATCATTTAATTGTCTGCTTTGAGTGTTTTTGTGTCTTATTTGACGACTGTCCAAATCGTCATTTTGTATAAAGCCAAAAACTAGCATAAAATGTTAATCGTAAGATCGAATTGTATTGTGCTAACATCTGAGAGTGAAAAAGAGTAGAGTAGAGCTTTGCGTGTGAGTCAGGTATTATGAAAGGTTAACAATATATAGGATTATAGCTAAAAATGCCTGTTAATGTTATAATAACTTCCTAAACAAACAACTTCTCAACACAAGCACACTTCTGATGAATCGAGGGCTCTACTGCAGACTAACGTACAGCACCATGATCTCAAGTAAACTATGGGTCAACTACATATACCAAATTCCCAATGAGGGAGTAGCCGAACTGTAAAACAATTGATAATCTCAAGATCCTAGTTATATTGATCCACATTCAAATTTTTGTGGTAACCATAATATTCATAGCCGGAGGCAAGAGATATTGACGATATTATCGATCTTTTGACCATAGTCGACCTCACCACCTTCACTCATTCACCCTCCTGTTATTGTAATCGACAACAATGCTCAATTGAGTAGCGAGCACCACAAATATAGCAAAATTCGGCTCGACACCTACATCGTTGAAAAAAATTAAAAATTAAACATATAATAATAAGTTCAATTGACCTCCACAATAATCAGCAATAATCAAAATTAATCATGGTGTGCGTGACACACAACAACAATAAGTACTCATGAGAGACGGTAGAGTAATTACCTGCATATAATATGGCTGCAGCCACTCTGTTTCGAAACGTACATCCTGCAGCCGGGGCATCTCTTCCACTGGTTCGCCTTAGCAAGTTCCACGACCATCTTGTCTTCTCTTTTAGCCTTTGACCTCTGGTACTTTCCGCAGTCCATCCTCGAGTGCCAGGGGACCCTGCACCTGACGCAGAACGCCCTCCGCACCAGGGACAATTCGCTTTCCAATATTTACGCCACAACCGGCGGAAGAACAGCCAGCGGCCAGGGCGGCAGCCGCCAGCGCCGTCGTTGATCAGCAAAGCGGAGCAATCCGGGTAAGGACAGTACAGCTTGTGGGCATCATCGATGGCAGACTCGGCCAGCGAAGCCTCCCACCTGTCGAACAGCGACTGGGGGGGGGGGGGGGGGGGGGGGGGGGGGGGGGGGGAGGATTCGGCGGCAGTGGTCCGGGTCGAGGAGACCGTTGCAGCCGGGCGACGGGCAGAGGATCCGGTTCTTGTTGTCGGAGAGTTTGGTGTCGATGTATTTCGCGGTGCAGGCGGTGCAGTACACGTGGTCGCAGCCCTTTGGGTTGAAGGAATCTTGCGTCGACGTTTCGAAGCAGATCTGGCACACGAAGAATGGCCACTTCGCCGGCTTGGGACTTGAACAAGAGTTCGGTTCGGTTCGCGGCCACCAGCTTATTCTGCTTCCGATGATCATCCTCCTCAAGGGCTGTCGATCCTTCCTTGCCACAATCACTATCCCATTTACCGTAGATAGGTAAATCTTAAACCCTAAACCTTATTTTGTCTTGAGATAAAGTCGAGGTGCTTTCTCCTTCTTCTAGTCGATATTGGCTCACTCATCGCCTTCCCCGAAAAGAATAACTAAATAATATGATTAAATAATCAAATCCGGATTAATTTAGTAAAAAGGAAATTGCACAATTGAACGAGTTTACTATGATCTACAAAATACGGTACTTTTTTCGTAGCATTCATAATCACTCATTTGACCCTGGTGCCATTATGTACCACCTTCTTTTTAACTCAAATTATATAAAAAAAAATTGTACATTAGAGATGATTTCATGGTGATCAATTGTGATCTACAAGTTTCGCGGAGAAAATTCATGACTAGATATACCGTCTTATACTATCTTGGTATATGGTGGTAGATGGTGATGCAGAATATTCATACTATTATAGATAGTCATTCTACACTGTGGTGTATGTAAGAGAGTGGTATAAGATCCATATATAACAACCTTCTCCTAACAACTCAAGTTATTGAGACCTACTGGTTTATGATGTGGTATCAGAGCTAGTTTGGCTAAGTGGTTGTGTGTTAGAATCTTCACGACTCTCAATATTAACAGTAAATTAAATCACAAGGTATGGCAGGCATGTGCAAATTTTAAGCCCGTGAGTTGATTTTCATTTGAAGGGGCGTATAAGATAGTGGTATGAGATTCATAATAACCTTCTCTCAGCAACTCGAGTTACTGGAATCAACTGGTGTATGACAGTATATTCATACTACCATGATATATTCGTATATACTATCGAACATTGCGATCATGGTATAGACTAATAATATATGCCTAAATTTTTCTATTTCTAAATACATAAAAATTGATACCATCTGAAATAACACAATTAATCTAATGTTTCAATGTAAAAAAATTCAACTCCAAACTAAAGCGTAGATATATTTTCCATTAAATTTGTATTATAAAAATTTATATATGATTAATAGCTGACCTGTTTAGTGACTAGATCCGTTGCCCGAATCTGCAAAGAGTTGGAGCCGAAGGGGTTGGCTGGCCAAGAGACTAAAGAGGTCGTTTGCTTGTAGGACTTTGATGAGTGATTTCGCCTTAAAATCCCATATGTGTTGGATTATGGTCCAAATCCATGTTTGTTGATAAAAATGAAGTTGGTCTAAATCCGTGGAGCCCACAAATGTGGGATTTTCTTTTGCTCAAAATCCGTGGACCCCACGGATTATAAAATCCCACCTCATTAGGTAAGATTTTGAGAAGTGCCAAAATTCGTGGACCCCACTAACTATGAATGACCAAAGTATCCTTAAAAAAACTTTATAATGATAGGAAGAAGGATAAGAAGGTAAACTCATCATTTAACCCATAAATTCAAGAAAGTAAAGTTCATTTTGAAATCCAACAAGCAAACATGCAAGTTTTAAAATCCAAGAGACTAAAGAGGTCGTTTGCTTGTAGGATTTTGATGAGATATTTTGCCTCAAAATTACATATGTGTTGGATTATGGTCCAAATTCATGTTTGTTGATAAAAAATGAAGTTGGCCTAAATTCGTGGAGCCCACAAATGTGGGATTTTCTTTTACTCAAAATCCGTGGACCCCATGGATTATAAAATCCCACCTCATGGGATAAGATTTTGAGAAATGTCAAAATCCGTAGACCCCACTAAATATGAATGACCAAAGTATCCTTAACAAAAAAGAAAAGAAAAATACGTTATGATAATAGGAAGAAGGATAAGAAGGTAAACTCATCATTAAACCCATAAATCCAGGATAGTAAAGTCTATTTTGAAATCAAACAAGCAAACATGCAATTTTTAAAATCCAACACAAATCTAACATAGCAAAATCCAACATAATCTTTCAATCCCAAAATCCAAGATTTTACCAAAATCATTCCTTTTTTAAAATCCCACAAGCAGCCCAGCAACCCAAGATCTAAACTTACGATTTTCCGACTAATCAATTCCAAGTTCGGGTGGGATTCCAAGAAACAACCTGAATGGCGGACCGAATTGCGAAGCCTTATTCTGCAGGGTTCGGTTTGGGCACAAAGAACGTTCGGTGTGGGTTTTCCACATGCATGCTCAAACATAACTTCAAACAACTCTTCAAAGGAAGCACGATTGGATTGAATGGACACTTGTGGTGATTCAAATATGATATTCTCATACATACAAATTAAATGCAGCCGGACAACCAGATGTAACAAAGGAAACTCAGCTTTTAACAAATTGTGGTAAGAACATGTGAAATGAAAGAAGAGGTCTTCACCAGAATCTCCAAGGGTCTTTGTATGGGGCTATATATTCATCCGTGCGAAATGACGATACAGTTCTATCCAGGAAAGGTCCCATCTGTAGTAGCGTTGGTCTAACTCATTAACCAACCAAGAACAAGAAAGCACCAAGAGGGACAATAAGGAGGGGCGTGGCATGATATATGGATCGAGAGAGACGGACCTTGTCCCACTGTTTGTTGAGAGTCGAAGCACTCAGCCAATACAAGTAACCATCTCGTTCGAACGTTGAGGCAACATAGTGCCTGTAAAGGTTTGGTTCCTGAACCTGGAGCATTTTCCCATTTGACAAGCATTTGCATCATTCAAGTCCGAAGGGTATTTGTGCTTCATTCAAAGGAAAAGACTTCAAATGGTCCTTACATTCTTGGTAGGCGACTTGCGAACCAGATGCTCATAAACCCAGTAAGGCTGTCCATCAATCTGTGATAAGTGGAATAGGGTTGCTATGCTTAAGACACGGATGACTTCATCAGAACTTATAATGATAAGAATGAATTGGTTTGGAGATCACTTCAGTTGTGTGTGCATCAAGAAGAGAGCTCTCAGCAAGTCGCTGAGTGGATGTGACTCGCTTCCATGAACATCAACACCAAATGCCATGAACATCAGCACCAAAATGTGATTAACAAATGATCCTAAGCCACATTGCAAGACTTAACAACCACTCTATGAATTTAGATGGGTTTGGAGAATCGGCAAACCCTCAGAAGAGATTGAGAGCTGCTATGCTTTCATTATATAGCAGTGTGCTCTGTAAACCCAGTAGCACCTTAACGACAGCCACATGACAGAATGCCATTGGCAATTACAAAAAGTAACAGTGTCTTAGCAACGGCTAACTATCCTTAGGAAAACGACATCGTTCAAGTAAATAATTAACAGAAAGGAAACTTAAAACAAAAACGTTTCTTCTGTGAAAATCCTTCTTCTCTTCTCTTCTCCAATCAAGATCGCATCAGGACTTCTTCTGCATCCTTCCACTTCAGTTGGTTTACACCCCCCTTCAAGTTGTGGCTTCTGTCAAGATTCCCAACTTGCCGAGAAGATCCTATAAGCGCACTCTATGGAGACTCTTTGTGAAGATGTCTGCCAGCTGATTAATCGTGCTGGCATGCTGCAATTCCACCAGTCCATCCTTGATCCTTTCTCTAGTGACATGCATATCTATCTCGATATGCTTTGTCCTCTCATGAAACACAGGATTCTCTGCAATATGGATTGCAGACCTGTTGTCACAGTAAATGGTAACAGACAATGGTATCTTCACACTCAGTTCTGCCAATAATCCTCTTACCACTCCACTTCACAAACCAGCAGTGCAAAAGCTCGATATTCAGCCTCTGATGAAGACCTTGAAACTGTAGTTTGCTTATTTGACTTCCAGGTGAGTAGTGACTTACCAATGAATGTACAAAAGCCAGTGGTTGATCTTCTAGAATCAGGGCAACTTGCCCAATCCGAGTCACAGAAACCAGTAAGTTTTAAATCTTCCTTGCTACTGAAATAGATCCCTTGACATGGAGATGATTTAAGGTACCTCAGCACTCTATGAGCTGCTTGCATATGATCACTGTATGGATTCTTCTGGAACTGACACAGCTGCTGGACTGAGTAAGTGAGATCAGGTCTGGTGATAGTGATGTAGTGTAACCTTCCAACCAGCCTTCTATACATCTCAGGATCCTCCATCTTGTTTCCTTGTTCTGCAGCAAGTTTTACATTAGGATCAGAAGGTGACAGACAACTTTTAGCATCCAGGAAACCAGTGTCACTCAATAGCTCCATGCAATATTTCCTTTGACAAACAGATAAGCCTTCTGCTGTTCTTGTCACTTCCAGTCCAAGGAAGTGTTTCAATGGTCCAAGCAGCTTTACTTTGAACTCACCACAAATAGACCTCTTGACCTGGTCTATGTCTTTCTGTGCATCTCCACCAACAATTGTATCATCTACATAGACCAACAAAACCACAATCCTTCCCTGTACCCATTTGGTAAAGAGTGAATAATCAGACCTGGATTGTGAGAAACCATTTCTTAACAAGAAACCTGTCAACTTAGCAAACCATTGTCTTGAAGCCTGCTTCAATCCATACAGTGACTTCTTCAATCTGCAGGCCATCCTTGTGTTTGACTTTGGTATTTCAATCCCTTTAGGGATTTCCATATAGACCTCTTCAGTTAGATCTCCATGTAGGAAAGCATTGGACACATCTAACTGTTCAAGGGTCCAGTTCTTAACAGCTGCTATTGCTAATAGGGCTTTGACTGAGTTAATCTTTGCAACAGGTGAGTAGGTATCCAGGAAGTCTATACCATACACCTGAGTAAAACCCTTAGCAACTAGCCTAGCTTTATATCTCTCTATTGTACCATTAGGCTTCAACTTGAGTTTAAACACCCACTTGCTTCCCACTACATGTTTATCTGGGGGCAAGGGTACAATCTCCCATGTCTGATTTGCTTCCAGGGCAGCAAGTTCTTCATTTATAGCTCTCCTCCATTCTAGAACTTGGACAGCCTCACGATAGGTCTTAGGCTCCACACATGTCAATATACTCAATGCAAAAGACTTGTAAGCCTCATTGAAATGATCAAGATTGAATGTCACTAAATGCCTAGTTACAGTAT